TTATTCATTTTTTCTTTTTTACTCTTTTCTTCCATACATATATCAAACAACAAAAAGTAATAAAATCTTACCTTATAGGATCATTAGGTCTCAAAGATGTTATTTTCTTGGACAAATATTGCTGTTTATTTACACAGTGTTTTTCAATGGAGAGCACTAATTTTTAAAAGAAATGATAAATTATGGTCAGGAAATCCTGCTTGTTCTATGGATATTTTATTTAGCGAGTCATTAGGAAATTGACAAACACTGTGTTTCAATTTCTATGGTCATTTTAAAATTAATTTGTAAAACCAGGTAACCAGAGAAACTTTTACAGCAGAGCAGGGACTACACACACACGCACACTTGAGCGCTGTGCACACAGTGTTGTGCCATGTCATCGACGTCATTTTTATTTACTTTTTGTTTTTTCTGGCAACAGTGGAACATGCCCTGACAACCCACCTTCCATTATAAATATTTTAACAGCTAGGCAGGAGAGAGTCATCCTTTAGATGCAGTCATATAATGTAATGAAGGATACACACAGCTGCAGCAACATTATGTAATTACTTAATTTGTTTTTGACAGCTCCCATTTGCAGAGGGAGGAAAGTATGAACTGTACGTGGGCAAGGGTTTTATATATGCCCAAATTTGTTTGTCAGTTGTGAATAGTCACACATTTTCTTGGGGAATGTCACGGAGTATGGGGCAGGAAATCAAAGTCAACATCACTCCCTTCCTAGTATTGAAACAGCTGAAGATGTTTGCTGTCCATGGAAAGTTGAAGTAAAAACTCAAGTCAGCGTCTTTTTACCAAAGGGAAGAAGTAGATTAGCAAGCACTTCGTAGCTTGAGTTGTTTGGGTGGTAGACAGAGTTAAGCATGTGGGTGGGCCTAGCTTATCAAATGGAAGAGCTCATTTTAATGAGTAAATGAAGCCTCGGACAGGCCCCTACATTTATCCCAAGCCACCTTTCATAACAGTTTTGGGTTGGGTGGCGTGATAGCTCTTTCTGTGGTTTCTGTAACCTGACTCTGGGGGCTTAGGGTGCTCCTCATCATGCACTTCTTAGGTAAGGAGTGTTGGCCATAGAGTGCTCTTTTGACCCCCTGACATGCATCCTGAGTTGTCAGAGACTGATCATTTTATGGGGACAGGGATGTGTGGTTGTGATTTGGGCTCTTTCCAGGGTATGAGAGGTCTCTTACCTTACTGGAAGTTGGAGACATGATGCTAAACAAAAAATGCAGATAGTTCTAGGAGAGGATGATGGCAACATCACCAAGTGGGGAGCACTGGGGACAATGGGGTGATTTGAGTTAGCTCAAAATTATCACCAGCAGTCAAAACTGTGCTCTGATTTCACTTACAAGTGGAATCTAGAGAACAAAACAAACAATAGAAACAGACTCATAGATATAGAGAACAGACTAACAGCTCTCAGGGTGGGGTGTTTGGTGGGTTCGGTGAATTAAATGAAGGGATTAAGCAAAAAACTCCCAACCAAACAAAAATACCCCCTCATAGATAATGGTATGATGATTTCCATAGGGAGAGGTAGAAGAGGGTAAAGGGAGGATAAAATGGTGATAGGAGACTTGACTTTGGGTGGTGAGTGCACAATACAATGTACATATGATGTATGAGGGGGGGACCCCCCAAAAAACTGGAATTATCTTCTGGAGGGTGGCCCCTTTGTAGTACAGGCTTCTCTCACTAGGTGAATGTTCCAGGAACCCATCTGTATCCGTTTACCACAGGCGCTGTTTTGAGAAGCTGTATTCAGCTTCAGTGAATATTGTTTGAAGGCTCATTCAGTGCAGTTGCCCATTTCATGGTGGGTGATTTATGAGCGTGCCTGCCCACACCACGCTGAGTGTTCGGCAGTTTTTGACCAAAAATGGCATGACCCCTGTGCTCCATCCTCCCTAGTCACCCATTCTCGCCCCAAGTGCCTTTTTTTTGGTTTCTCCAATGAAAGTCTTCAAAGGGAAATGTTTTACTGATGAAGAATAGGTGAAACAGAAAACAGCAAAAGCACTAAAAGGCATCAAAATTGACAAGTTCAGAAACTGTTTTGAGCAGTGGAAAAAAAGTCTTGATAGGCGTATTGCATCAAACGGAGGGTGATTGAAGTTTAAATATGTAAGAATAAATACATACTTTTTTATAAATAAATTCCATTTTGTGTGCCCCACATTATAGAATTGTATACTTGAAATGTATATAATTTTATTAACCAATGTAACCCCAATAAATTCAACAAAAATTGAAAATTTAAAAAAAATGTGTATCCAGATGTAACAATTAAGTCTTGATTTAGTGGATGTCTGTCACCTTAGGAAGATGGGATCAGGGAAGTTGATATCTTAATATAAATCAGAACAGGGAATTATAATAAATAAAATATCATTATTATGTTAATATTATATTGTAAGAGAAAAAGAAGAGAAATGAGGAAGAGCTCTGGACTGTCATTTACCTGGTAGAAATCTGACCGAGTAGAGTTAAAGGCCTGCCTGTACTTCCTCTGTCCTGATTGCCTTGGTTCCTGGTGGTAATAGAATTCTAACGAGTAAAACCACATGCAAATATCATAAGGAGTAATTAAAGGGAGAGTCTCATGTGGTCTAATTAGCTTCACCTTAAAGAAAGTTCCTGGGAGGAGTCTGGGAGGATCTGTTGCAGTAGGAAGTCAGGAAGCAGAGGAATTTGACTTATGAAAAAGGAGTTAACTTGAGGCTGCAGGCTTGAGAGCTCTTTCTTGGTAACGCTGAGCTGTCTTTTCCTGTGTCCTTTGGTCAAGTCACACAGTTATGCAGTTACATGTTCACATTGCCTTGTATGTTCTACTCAACAGGAAGGAATTAGGACCTGGGAATGGGCAGAAATTCCCTGTCAGGCGTATGGAGTACTATGGCCAAGATCATGGTCATCAGGCAGCCTGTGTCTAAGACGGCTTTTCCTGCCCTTATCAGCACTCCATAGCCTCAGGCTTCCAAAGCAGACAGGGTGTCAGGATTATGCTTTAGACTGCCTGAAGTTTATACACATGCATATATATAAACTGTAGGGGGCTGAAGGTTGTGTATCACCTTTATCCTCTTTTTTTTCTAATGTCATCTTATTCCAGTTTTCAAGGTCAGTCTTCCAAAAAGCACACGTTTAAGCTATGGTACTTAGGTAGAAGCCACCTTTCTCTACAGTCCTATCAAAATATTATTTGATACTTTCACTAAGGGTTATATGTAAATATATATTTGAACTTTGGAGAGTGATTATATTTGATGAGTCTCAACAACTTAGTATATTCCCATACTGATTTGTCTGAAGGCATTGGCAAGTTATAGATGAACTCACTGAAGTCAAATGCTTATGTTGACCTTTCAGGTCCTCTCTTTCACGTCATAAACATTTAAACTTTGATTGCATACTACTTAGCTCTTCCTTTTTACACAGCATTGTTTAATGACAGATTGTTCCTGTATATATGTAGGTGGTATTTATAAAACTGGTAACTGCTAGTCAAATTAGGTAAATCTAATTTACCAAAAATATTCCTGGGCCCTGACCAGTGTGGCTCAGTTGGTTGGGTGTTGTCCCACAAAGTGAAAGGTCACCCATTCTTTTCTTGGTCAGGGCACATGCCTAGGTTTTAGGTTCAGTTCTTGGTGAGGGCATGTATGAGAGGCAACTGATCAATGCTCCTCTCTCACATCGATGTTTCTTTCCTTCTCCCTCTCCCTCACTTCCCCCCTCTCTAAAAATAAAATAAAAAATTAAAAACTTAAAAAAAATACGTTCCTGGAAGAATTCAAAGTGGAAAGAATTAACCAAAGGAAAAAAAATGCTAAAACAAGAAAACAATTTGGGTTACTGAAAATAAATTATTGGCATTTAAAACTTTGAAAGAACTTATTAGCACCATATGTACTTCCTTTTTTACTTTAACTTTTATTTCTTCTTGATTTTGTTGTTGTTGTTTTTTTTTTTTTTGGACAAGGGTATTATCATTATGGCTATCTCAACAACAGAAAATGTATAAAGAAAAATTTCATGATCCCTACCTCCCAATGACCTAGAATAAATGCTTCCATTTCTTTTCTCTTTTTTCCATACAAAGATACACACACACACACACACACACACACACTCAAACATCTAAGTTGGGTGTTTTCAAACTAGGATTAAAATATAGAGGCTCTATATGTACTGGAATTTTTTTTGGTTTTTGGTTCATCTTTTTTTTTTTTGCTGAGGGAATTTAGCAAATTTTTTTTCTCACTTTATACAGTGTAGGTTCCCCCCCAGGATGATAAATATAGATCAAAAACATTTTAAAAAAGCTGTGTAATATTTCATATGAATTAGGTATCACAATTATTTAGCCATTTGATAGAGATTATACAAGGAATGCATACCTACATCTTGTCTTAGGGGAAATATGAGATCAGAAATATGGTTTTCTCTTTAAAAATGAAAGTTAACCACTAAACAATAAGGTTCTAGCTGGGTAGATTTTCAAGGCTATGGAGAATCTGAAAAACAGTGCATTTCAGCTTTGTTCTCAAGCTCATGACATAGAAGGTAGAAAAGGCAAGTATTTTCCTAGTGCTTATAAATTTTACTTTTCTTTTTTCTTTTTTTTTAGAATAACAAAAAAATATTTTACTAAAACATAGGATTTACAGAAGTTTTCAGACAAGCCATACAAAATGGTGACAAGCTTTTTCTTGAAGGGAGGATTCTACATTTGACAGCAAAGTCACAATGTTATTAGTGAGGACCGTAATATTTAGTGTTCCCATTTTAGTTCAAAACAATCAAGCTTGTCCGTCTACAGCGTCTAAATAAAGTTAGACTTGGCTAGAGAGCATATTCTAAAGAACTGGTTAGCTGCTTTTAACCAATGCAATTAAATCACCATAAAAAGGGGGAAAGGAGCCCATAAATTTAAAACTACTTCCCCCCTCAAAAAAAATAAAATAAAGAAAAACACCCATACTCCTGCAGCTAACCCTGATAACTACCTTCATTCACAGTGCTTTATACTTAAATCACGATGGGGGAAATGAATAAAAGCAGAGAGGGGCCACTGCTTTTAAACGTTTTGCAACAATCCAGATAATACTTCTAGCCTCTGCTCATGCTTTATAACAGTGAATCAGGACAAGACATAGATTTGCTAATGTGCATTTAATCACCAAATGACTGAAGATGTTGGGCTTTTTTTCTGTAATGTTTCTAAGACTGTGTCCATTAAATGCAAACAAAAAAGGAAGAAGTCTTGGCAGAACAGGAGAAGTGATGCACACTTGATGATCAGATAGATTTAAATATTATTCATGGCATATAGCCCAGTCCATGCTCTAGCTGTTTCTATGGCTTGGGCTTCGTTGGTCTTCCACTGCTCTGCTACATCATTTGCTAATGGATTGTCGGGATTGGGAGCACTTAACGAAGCCTGGATCGATAGCAGAACTGTGCGGATCTGCAGTGCTGGGGACCACTTATCTTTCAAAATATCTAAACATATTCTTCCCAACTTGTCTACATTAGGATAGTAAATTTTGGTCATGAAACGTATTTTAGGTGCTGCCATCGGGTATTCTTCTGGAAGAAATAGTTCAAATTTAAAAGTCCCTCCCTCAAAGGGGGAATCCTGGGGGCCAGCAATGACCACATGAAAATAACGGGCGTTGCTCTCACCTGGTTCTGCTTTAATGCCAGGAACTGGTTCTGCCAGCAAACGCTGGGTTTCCTTGATAATCCTGCGGGGCAGCCCGGCCATCTTGTCAGATCCCAAGTTCGGCCTCCGGTCTAGTCTCCTGCTTTGCTCAGATCACGCACGAGTCAAATTTTACTTTTCTACACACAAATACAGCTTTGATATTTCAAATGTTTCAGAAACACTGTTTAGATAATTACATGAGTCATAGAACAGTGGTTGTTGTGTAAACTAATGGTGATTTAAAAATGTAACAGCTAATGTAAGTGATTCATTAGGAAGCATAAATCTTTCACAAAGGTGCATTATACTTAAAGTCTATTGATGTCCATTTTGTTTTGGGGTGTTAAATGAAAAAAAAGCACTTTGATATCTTCTTACTGTATTCGATTTTTGAAAAAGTATTTTTTTCTATAGATCTAAACACAATACATGTGTCTTTGGTTAGCTTTTCTTTTCCCAATGCTTAAACCATTACAAATAACCAGCAATCAAAGCCTGAGCACATATATCTTTATGTAGTGCTGCATTACTCCAAGTGGGGTTACTGGGTTCAGCGTAGGCACTCTTTACTTTTTAATAGAGAGTGGCAGATTACCTTCCCTAAGAGTTACAGCGATTCATATTGCCTTGTCCACTCAAGTTGTTATACTCCTTTAGAAAGTGAGATTGGGGGCATGCTGACTTCCAGCTGCCATCTTTCCAGCTGGCTACATATTTTAAAGTATGATATAAATAAATAGTTTAAACTATTCCCATCTGGATTTAATTTGTTCTTAAGATGAGAACTTGGAAATGGTATACCGTCCAATCACAAGTCCCCTTTATCTCCAGCTCAGACTTTTCCCCCATTTTCTCTGATTTAGTAAGAGAGATGGATGGGGCTTGCAGTTCTAGAAGACAATCAAATGAACACAATGGCAAGAACAGATGTTTCTCTACTTGGAACACTAGGAGGAAAATACCACATACTGCCTTTCACCACAGCCCTTGATTGTGAAGGTTTTTTTCAGTGAGGTTTTCTCTCTTGCAGCTTACCTGTTGATGAAGAATAAGGAGAACTACAGGGCGGGGCTATAGCGGGAGATGGGAGGAAGAAAAAAAAAATCATCAAAGTAAAGAAGATTAATTTGAATTTCAAGTTGTAATCTCCTAAGTGCTGTGTATACTCTGGGGACTAAACAAATGCTTATTGACTTTTTTTCTGACTCCATTTAAAATCTCATTTGCTCCTGCATTTAATAAAAGACCTACTTTTAACTGAGAGGCAAAGTGATACTGAATACTACTATGCTGACTCTGGAAATGTTTTTTTTGTGTGTGTGTTTTCTTGAGAGGATGGACTGAAAAAAAATCTAAACAGATACAATAAGACAGTTGGAATGTAGATTTTCATTGAAAAAATTATTACCTGTTACGGAATGAATGTTTGTATCCCCTTCCAATTCATGTATTGAAGCTCTACCCCCCCTCCCCTCATATGATGGTATTTAAAGGTGAGGCCTTGGGGGAGTGATTAGGAGTAGATGAGGTCATGGGGGTGGGGTCCTCATCCAATGGGACTAGTGCCCTTATAATGATAGACACCTTCTCCCTGTGCACACACGGAGGAAAGGCTGTGTGGACACCCAGCAGGGAGACCGTGGTCTACGAGTCAGACAGGGAGCTCTCACCAGAAACTGACCATGCTGGTACCTTAATCTTGGCATCCCAGCCTCTAGAACTATGAGATAATGAATTTTTGTTGTTCAAGCCACCAGGTCTATGGTATTTGTCATTTGCAAGGCAGAAGCAGAGACAGACAATATGCAAATGAAAGGATGAATGGACATGGCTCTGCTCTAGGGAAGAGGCTTGGGGCAGCGTTTGCTGTGTAGGTCATAGTTTTGGCAACCTGCGTCGTAGACTGCCCCACCTCCTCACCACTCACCAGGGGTATAAAAGCCACTGTGTTCTTCCCAAGGCAACCTCACCTGGAGCCTCATTATTAGAAGACCAGGCTCAGGGTTTGTTTCTGAAATGTGTGCTTTCATTCCATACCTGTTAAGCTTAAAAGCCTGTCAACTTTCTGTTCACGGCCAGCTACTGTTGTGATCTCAACAAATGCCTGAAAGTGTGTAAGTAGTCTTGTCCTTAGGCCAATAACCAGTCATACTTCTTATTGTTTAGTTCTATCATGATTAAATCATACAACCTGAGCCCAATAGCCAGGAATGGCACTTCTCTGGGTCATAACGTCTTAAACAAAATAGTCCTTTAGGTTTCTGAAGAGCAGAGAAACACTTACACTTGTTTTTCTCTGTGCATGTTCTGAATTGTCTTCATAAGCTTTAACACTGAGTTTTAGTCTGAATTAGGGGTTTTATTGAAAGTTCTGGGAGACTGACCCTCAAGCTGGAAGGGACATTTAGCGACCGTTCTTCATTTTGGTCTCTGTTCAAAAGCACTTTCTGAGAAAAGTCTACTCCGACCCGCTTCTCTAAGAGAGGACCACATGCATCCCTCAGCCAGCTTCATTTTTCCCCCTAGGTTTTATTACTGTTTGGCATCATATTATAAATTCATAGACCTATTATTTGTCTCCAAATCTAGCATTAAACTCCATTATTTCTTTACTTTTTTTTCCCCTCTTTTCTGCTGTATCCCCAGAACCTTGAACAATGCCTGGCACATGGTAGGTGCTCAATTCATATTTACTGAATAAACTGGAGGCCAAACTTACTACCTGAGTTTTAGTCCTTTTCTTGGATACTGTACTAGTGTTCTAGAGGCTCTGAATTCAGAGACATCCTTTATTTTGGCCAGCGTCCCATAGAGATGGGAAACAGCTCATAAACCCTGGGTCTGAATCAAAGAATAATTGCCTGGAATTCCAGGGGATACTCTGTTTCCATTGTTCACCTATTGGCTCAAACGCCAAGTCTCATGGCAGACTCCGCCCCACCTCTGCCTCCAGCAGCGGGGGCTTGCTTGTGATTTCTACATCCCACGCGAGTTTACACTCACTCCCAGCCTAGCCCAGCCACACCCAAAGATATGGTTTAGGTTGTATATTTTAATTTTTAAAATTCTATACATGCTTTAATGCATATTACCATATGACTGGTACATCACATTCGTGTTTTATAATAGTGAGATTAAGTTTACTTTTAGAAAACAAATTTAAGTAAAAAACCCCACTGCTGTATGGTTCTTTTTTTTTTTTTTTTTTTTTTTAAAGACAGCCTGGAAGAGGCAGATTTATAGAGACAGAAATCAGATCTATGATTGCCACCAGCCAACGGTGGGGATGGGCAGGGACTATGAAGGGGCCTGAGGGGAAATTTTTGAATGATGTAAATGTGTACCTTGATTGTGGTGGTGATTACATGACTGTGTTTATCAAAACTTATAAAACTGTATACCTTAAAAGAGAGAGTTAATTTTACTGTTAGTAGATATATCTCAGTAACCTGCCAATAATTTAAGTCAAAAGTAGGAGTTAATATAAAGAAAATATCAAAATAATTATAAAGGTGGTATATAATTATGGTAAAAGTTGGTAGGCAAATGACAAAAGTTGGAGAATATTATATTTAGGGATAGTCTCAAAAATGCAATATTAGTCAGGTATGTTGGCCACCCTTTGTTTCTTTAGTTTATCTGAGTATTGGATGCCCCCTCGGGCCCCCATGGCCTCATCTGTCTGGCACTCCAGCCACCCTTGCTCCAATCCGCTTTAGTGGGGCTCTGACCAGGTACGTAGAAAGTACAACTCCCATATGATCTCACCTATAAGCGGAACCTAACCAACAATACAAAGATGCAAAGAAAATAAGACCAGCAACACTGAAAGGAAAAGAAATCAACAGAGACAAGAGGGAAGAAGGGAGGGGGGTGGGGAAAAGAAAGGGCAGGGGAAAGTCAAGGAACATATAGCAAGGACTCATGGACAAAACCAAAGGGGAAGAGCTGAGGGAGGGAGGGAGGGAAGGGGCAAGGGAAAGTGGTGGGAGGGAGGCAGAGACAAATGTATTTGAAAAAATAAATTAAAATAAAATTAAAAAAACAAAAAGAAAGTACAACTCAATAGTGTCTGTCCTCAGGCAATGAAAATATGTGACTCCCATTGATACGTAACCCAGATGTGTTTGAGAGATAACCCTGTGGGGCAAACCCCACAGTTTTCAGTACAGGGTGGAGCCCGGAGATAATTGCTTTTCCCTTCCCCCCAGTGGATGGTCTGGAGTCCCATTTCATCAAGTTCCTGAGACAACGCTGCCAGATGGAGCAGCCAGCTCCCTGCATCAGTGGCCAACCTGTCACGGCCTCTTTTTTCCGGTTCTCCTACCCTTCCTGTTTGCTCCTTCCTTCCCTCACGTCTGCTTGCTGGGATTGTACTCATCAGTATAGCACCATTTTTAATTGTGGTAAGATAGATACAACAGAAAGTGTAGCATTGTCACCATGTTAAGTGCACAGTACAGTGGCATTAAGTACATTCCTATTGTTGTGCAGCCATCACCACCATCCACCTTTGAACTCTTCATTTTGTAAAACGGAGCCCCTGTACCCATTAAACTGTAACTCTTCATTCCCCACTCCCCCAGAAAGCTTTGCTCATTGACCTTTGTCGAAGCTCACGGTGACTTCTTTCTGGGTAAATCACATCAAAACTCCGTTCCATACCTAATCTGCTTTTGTTCTTTATTAAAATAGAGAATCTGCAAAAAGTAGACCTGGCATACTAAGATGCAAATTATAATTTTTTGTTTATTTCATTTCCTCTTTCTTGGACTTGGTTTCTTCTTCTTTTAAACATCTGCCATCCAGCTCTGTATCCTTCTTCACTCAGATTTAGGAGAGTTCTTACTATGGGGCAGCGATGCGGACTGCAAGAGGTTGGTACTGTGTGGCCCTGGGGCTGCATGTGGCTCCATATCTTCCTTTGCCTGACCCTTTTATTTGGTTCCCAGGGCATTTTGAAAAAGATTTTATAATTGACAGATATTATTCTTGGCCTGAGACAAGTAGCTCAGATAAGTGTGTGTGCTACCTGGCCCCATTTACCGTTTGCATTTGCAGTCTCTGAATACCCCGATGGCTGTGGGGTGAG